AGGAAGCCATTGAGAGGATACTTGCATACCTAAAGAAGCATCTTGGCAGAGGGATTCTTTTCTCAAACCATGAAATTTAAAGTTGGAGTCCTACACAGATGCATATTAGGCAGGTTGCATAGATGACAGGAGATCTACATCAAGGGTATGCACCTTTGTGGGAGAAAACTTGGTCTCATGGAAGAGTAAAAAACAATCAGTTGTGGCTAGATCAAGTGCAGAGGTTGAATATAGATCTATGGCTCATGGTGTTTCAGAACTCCTTTGGATGAGATCTCTACTAAGTGAGGAGCCCATGATGTTATATTATGACAACCAATCTGTAATCAATATCACCCACAATCCAATTCAGCATGACAGGACTAAACACATTGAGGTTGATAGGCACTTCATAAGAGAAAGGGTGACAACTGGAGAAGCCTACTTGCCTTATGTTTCCTCTGAACTACAATTGGCTAACGTCTTCACCAAAGGGATTGCAAAGAACAAGCTTGAATACAATCTATGCAAGTTGGAAATGTGTGACATTTACTCCCAACTTGAGGGGGAGTGTTGAGATTTTAGACAAATTGTGGTCTATAGTGGTAGTTTTTTATTGTTTATTATTTAGATAGGAAGTGGGGATCACAACACTCTTGTTGGGTCCTTTTTGAACAGTTATTTTAATTGTTTTATGTGTTAGTCGCCCTATAAGGGCATATTGGTCTTTGTATTCTTTATTATTTTAGACTATAAAAAATAGTGAAGAGGGCAGCCAATATTATTGCTCTCTTTTCTCTCTCAAATCTTTTCTCCTTTCTTCTCTTCTTCTTCTTCAAGAAATGTTCTTTTCTTTTACAATTTTTTTTTATTTCAGCACCTTTCTACTTAATCAATTGCATTCAGATCTACGAAGCGTAGAAACTTGACTTTGTGGACATTCAATTGAAAGTGTCTCATTATCACACCTTAAAGTAAATATGTTAAGCATATCATGGAAGCAAAAGCAAGAACCAAAGTTTCACAAACTGTTTCTTGTGATGAAAAAAGACCATTCGGTCATTTTCAATAATGAAGAGAATGTGAAGGATATTTCCCCCACTTGCATTGGTAATTATACTTGTCACAACCTTTGAAGAATAGCAACAGGTTCTGGTGGTGTTAAGTTCCAAAATGGCTTTTCTTATGTAACAAACCAAATTGTTTTGCCAAACTGTGACCTAGCCCCTTGGCCAGTTTGGCCATACCCTAAGAATCAGAATTCATGAAAAACCAATCAAAACTGGCTGACGGTTTAACTGATGAACCAGTCTCAATTTTATATAACCTTCCAGGTCAATAAATGATGGAATTTCCAAAATGCTAATGGCAAGACTTGAACCCCTGACCTTTTATTCATGTGAAATGTCTTGTTACCATTAAGTCATTCCTTTATTTGTGTTTATTTATGCCTCTTTAATGTATACATTGCTTTAATATATACATATTTTAAAGAAAACAAGAGTTCAAGAGGCTTGAGCCGTAGTTATTTGCTTTAAAAAATGGGGAACTTGCCATCTATCCACCACATTCAAATGTAGCTTTATTTGTAAAATAGTATATATAGTATTTAACAATTTATGTGATATATACTTTATCATGGTTCAACCTCCGATTTGACCACGACTGAACCTCTGACTCATGAACCTCTCCCCTTGCCTGGTCTGGTTTTCTGAACATTGCATATTACTCTTTCTTGTATTAATTACTGCTTATCTGAAATTTTCACCATGCAGGCAATAATTACAAAAAATGAATGAGAGACTACAAAAACCCAGACAAGTCTAGCAAACCATTACGGGTGAAAAATCACAAAAGACTTGTAAGACCATAGTAATGTCTAGAGATCAAACTTGGATTACATATGAGAGAACATTCAACAGGAAACAGAGTTCAAACCCATGAGTACTTTCCAAACTATAGATTATGTGGAATTCAGCGAATAAGTAATCAAAAATCTTCTTCCAGAAGATAATCAAGCTATCGCCAGTATGATCAATGTGATGAAGCAATGACTAATTGGTTTGGCCTCTCTAGTAGATATGATGACTAATTGGTGCCTAGGCACTTACTAGCTCATAGAATGCAATCTCATAAATAAGTTAATATAGATTACAAGTATGCAGGAAAATAATTATTGAGCATCTAGTTTATAATTTTTGTTATGCAAATATAAAAGAGTTAGAGTGGATAGGCTAGGAGAGGAAATTACAGCCTTTATTTCCCAACTGGAGCTGCTTGGTGATGTGTCCACCCATTAGAAACACCCTAATTTTAATTTTCAGGGTATCCTCAACAGATGACTAAAGAACTATGGTATGCTACCATAAGGATTAAAAATATCCTATCCTCAACAGATGACTAAAGAACTATGGTATGCTACTATAAGGATTAAAAATATCCCCAATGCCTGCCTATTTGCATGTTATATTTGACCAGAAAAATCAATCTCCAACAAAAAGAAATATTGATAGAGCAGGAATTGGCTGTAAAGAAGTTTGTAACATCGATCCTGATCACAGAAATCCATCTCCACAGGAATTCCAGGGAACCTCATGTTATCATTATGGGATAGAAAATTAAAAAAAAAAATAAAATAAGAACCAGACTTAAAGAAGGAATCTCTTCTTAATAGAGTGTGAAAGAAGTCCCAAATAAGAGATAGAAGATTTAAATTGGACAGGGAAGCCCACTCTCTCCACAGATAGAAGAAACTTTGTAGCTAGAAGATAGTTATCAATTAACAACTTGCTCTATACAAAACAGAAGGCTGTTATTTTTTCTATACTCCAGGATTTTAGGTTGCCATAGCCAAATTTAAATGCATACATTGTACAACATGGAAGAATAAAGAGATGACACCAAATGTAACACAGAAGAAAAAAACGAGAAATGTAAAGAAAGAATATATGCTGACAACCCTTACAATTCTGAAAGTAGTCTATGGGTGAAAAGGCTGAAGTGGACATCAAACTGCGATCAATCATTCACAGATTTACTCATACAAACCCATCTTGTCAGCCACTTCACCTCTTCTAAAGAAACCTCTGAAATGCATGGATGAAAAATATATGACAAGCCCCAGATCAAAGTTGAAATTCTAGAAAAGGATAAGAGTATTTGCAGAAATTAACTTGCAAAGTCCCACCCTGTCGGCCACTTCATAATTTCTGATAAAACCTCTAAAAGATAAAGCATTTTTAGTCAACAAATAAAACCCCTGAATGAAAACAATGACCCTAGAGTACAATATTAAACAAGATGCACCCCCAACCAAAAACCTCCCTGAGTTCCATTTCTGCTATCCAAATTTAAGATGGATTGAAGAGTCAACTACAATAAAAGATACCAAAGGAGTCCTAAGGGGTCATATGATAGCAGCTGAAATGGCTAAACCGAATAACTTGTTACTTTGCATAATAGTGAACAAGTTTTAAGGAGGTTGTGAGTTTCTAAATGGTTGGAAATGAAGATAGGTTGCTTACTATAAGATCAAATGCTTCATTATTTAATTATTTTATCAACTACAAGTCTACAAGACAAAGCAATAAGTCATTTAGTTCTGCCACTTCAGCTGTTATCAAACAACCCCTAAATAAGAAATGGGTTTTAGATAACATTTAAAATAGTTAATGAATAAAGAGGAAAAAATATAACCATTTCACCAGTGGCAGTCACAATAGAAACACAGTAGCAAGTTGTTGGGGTAGATTTCAAAGAATAGACAATTGCAGTGGGGAGTGATAACAGGGAAAATGAAGTTCATAATTAACATTCACTAGGCTCTAGAACTTTGTAGTAATCTTAATGAATATATAAATATTTCTATAATCTGTTATTGGTATATAGTAAATAGCTTGGACTTTGAACTTCAGATTTATATTTTCTCTAACATGTTTGTTTATCATTAACAGATATAGAAACGTTATCCAAAGGTATTATCGGCATAGATATATGAATCTCCCAACTGGAGTAAAGTTGAGCCACAAAACTCACCCACCCCATATGCATAAAAGACTCATCAGTCAACCCTAAGAGTGCAGACCTCCAATACAATTCAACCCAATCTCCTCCCTCTATTGCAAGTGAATCTGCTAGAGTGTTGACTGATCTTCTAACCCATCTAAAAAGCTGTTCATTCTAGAGACCAGAGATCTAGTCTCCATAATAAAATGTTAAGAGCACTGAAAAAGGTGAAAACCTACTTTATCTGTCATAATATGGTCTGGTTTCTATTCCTTTATGACACCAGGCTGAATTAATATTTAATTTTTGTTCCTTCTTCCTTGGCACCCCAGTTAATCCTTTTGATGCAGAATTTTGTACCTCCAATCTGTAAGAAGGCAGGTCAAGTGCAAGTCGTACACTATGGTTCTTGGAATTTCTTAGTTCTTCATTCCCTTTCTTATTTCTTCTTACCCTAATTTATATCCAGTTCTTTCAATTCCATGAACTGGGATACTTATTGCTGCCAAGACCATGTCATGCAAGATATCTTATGGTATACAAACAAAGGTAATCCTCAAACAGTTCACAATTAAAAATAAGATAAGAATCACCAAATAAGCAACAAAGTAAAAGAAAATCACTAAAATTCCCTTTTATTCAGCACATTTAGGCTGTGTTTGGTTTGAAGGAAAAAAGGTAGGGAAAGGAAGAGAAAATTGTACAAACCTTGTATAGGTTTCCCTACCTTTTCCTTCAAACCAAATGCAACCTTAAAGAAACAAGAAGAATTTTATAACAATAGAAAAATGGGTAAAGGCCTACCAGTACACAGCAAATGTCACTAAGGGGAACCAATAGTATAGCACAATTATGCAATCCAAACAATTCCTAAACTGTAGAACCCAAAATGCTTCTCCAGTTTATCACATAACGTGATAAATGAGGCATGCTCTTTTGCAAACAATCCCTACAATCACTATTACAATAAAATAAATGCTGCACCAAAAGGCTGGCCAAAGTAATGGAATACCAACCGTGCCTTGAAAGCTTGGCCACTCTATATACCTCAGCTGACCAGGCTGTTCGGCCAGAAACACAAACAAGGATTTCAAGGCCCTGCAAAGAAAATAAAACAATGGTTACTTGCAGAACACAAACGACAAACCTTCAGTCAATTCTGTCATTTCTTCTGCAATTCCTCCAAATGGGTTATCAATTTTTGAGTTCTGTATTTCGTTTGAAGTAGTAATGCAACTGTTTAACACGTAAGTATTAAAAGATACAGTACCAGTATGCTTCTTTAGTCAGAGTTAGCCAATAGGGCTCTGGACGGTAATCGTCAAAACTCGGTTCTTGATAGCTCCTTCCCGATGAAGTAGCACATTTGATAAGGGTATGCCGCCCAAGAAAATGTCGAATCCATGTTCCTGATATCTGTTTAAAGATGAAATGAACAAAACCCAGAATTTCAAATCTGAAACTTTCTTGCATACCAATTGGCTTGAGAGAATTCAAAGGGAAAGCTACCCAAACTAACCCGTCCCGCCGCAATTCGAACTGAATTAGAACCTATGAATCTGGTTCCATTGAATCTATGATTGCTAATAGGTAGCTTAGGAATACGTAGACAACCCAAACCTATACAAGGAATGAATAAGAGATAAGTATATTATCCTTTTCCACTACAAAATTCACAGCCAGAATGATGGAGAAAATAAAAAGAAATAAAGGAAAGAAGGTAGAACCTGAACTTTCTAACATTAACCCAGAAATCATCATCGTCTGTATTTCCGAGATCAATTTCTTGTGTAGAAATACAGAAGAAATGAGAAAAGCAAAGAAGGTAAAAGAAAGATGAAAGGTGAGGGACTGAGGGACTGAGGGACTGAGGGACTGAGGGAATATGCTTTGAACAGTCGGTACTCGCTTAAAGCCTTAAATTGCACAAGTTTAGACTTTAGAGTGCAACTTGGGCGGGCTCATCTCGAACCTGGATCGACCCAAACAAGGCTACGATTGGATTTTCAGTCTTAGGACTTAGAGCCCAAAGCACTATGCTTTGATGCTTTCTATATTTTCGGGCTGGGCCCGGACCTAACTCTTAGATTGCCAAAGCCCGGTCCAAGCTTAGGCCGACCCTAACCCAGCCTGAACTTGGCACGATTACGCATATATCTTTTTTGACACACGCCCAGTTACAAATGCATACATAGAGAATGCATGGGTGCTCATAAAAAAACCGAATCGAATCAAGCAGACGGAATTGAAAAATACAGTTAGTCAAATTGATCGATTTAGTTTTGGTTTGGCATTTTTGAAAAATCGAAGGATCAGTTTAGTTTTCAATTAACTTACGAAAAACTAGCACTTAATCAACCGATATATATACATATATATATCTCATATATTATCTATATTATGTATATATATCATACATACATATATATGTATCATATATACATATATTATATTTATAATAATCTATTTACAATATATAATATATTATAAATATATTACATATTATATATAGATATTTATAATATATGTTATAAATATAAAAAACCAAAGAACCAAATCAAACAAAAACTGAAACTAATTAACTGGTTAATCGGTGATATCGGTTCAGTTTTGATTTGGGGATACGAAAAATAATAAGACTGTTTCGATTTCAAAAAAATACCATGGTTCGATTAATCAAACCGTGAGCACCCTTATGCATGCATACGTATGGAGACTTTAAAAAGAACGACATATATAGAATATTATTTAAATAATGGTGCTAAATGGGTTTATCATTGACATTTGAAATAATAATAATAATAATAGTAATAATAATAATAAAGAAAAGTACACCACCAATTGATAGCCAGTAGAAGGGATGAGAGACAGAGATAAAAGTGTGAGGAACCTAGTAGAATCAATGATATCACCCCACGCTAGTGATAAAATACATATATGGGCCCCATAGTGGGAGGTTGAGTGGTTGTGGGTCCATGTATGACCAGTGTCAAGAGCTATTGTGTTCCAGCAGCGTAGGCTGCATGTGTCCAACATCGTCCAACTGCTCTATCTTGTGTTAATGCCTCTCTCTAGTGTTGTGTCCCAATAGTGAAGAACAAATAACAATAAATGGGAAAGAAAACTTTATTAGGTAAGACATTATTTTATATATTTAGATGCCACTGGCACTAACATAAAAATTGCAAAAGCCTAAATAAAAGTATAAAACTATAAATGTAAATATGAACATAGAAGTCAGATCAATTAAACATAATATATACAATTATGTATTATATACCATAGAAATTCATAACCATCTTCTCCCAACTTTATTGGGTCAGCTACATGAATCTTGTTTTACCATTCCATTTTAGTCATTGTCATATCCATCATTAAGTTTATGGGCACTTAAACCATTTCTTATTACTTTCACCCAAATCCTTTTATATCGGCCCTTTCCTTGATCCCATAAAACTTTCTCTTAAATTATGGGATTTCACCTTAGGGAAGTACTTGAAAATCTACAAGCATTGATTGCATTAGGCACAATTTGGCAGTGGACCCATTTGCAAACTACTAACTCTGAAATATCTTAGCTTTTTCTTGCAAACCAAAAATTTTAAAGAAAGCAAACATTTTCTTTATTTCTTTTTTAATTTATTTCACTTTCTCCTTGGCAACTAAAAGGATCCTAAATAAAAGAAAATATATCTCTACCTTTGTCTTAGCAGGTAGAAAACATTAAAAATCACAAAAAAAAGAACAAATTAAACAATAAAAGTAATATGGTATTCAGAGGCTTCATTGAGTAATCTTTCAGCCTACAAAATCCAAATTTGCAAGATCAAAGAAAGAGATTAACCATTAGTATTAACTAATTTCACAATTAAAGCGTGGCCTTAATTTGTTGGGCGGCATGGGTGCCAAACCCATGCCACAACCCTGGCAGCTTACACAAATGTTGCACAGAGGCCAAATACATGTATTTTATATATGAGTCATATGACCAATTTAAAAATGCCATTTGGAGATACAATAATAAATTAGGTTATATTTTTTTAAATAAAATAACTATAATTATATTCTATTATGAATAATAAACAACCACGTAGAATCAGTCCTGAACCGATTATTTAATTGGGATCAAATCATAGACCTCATTATATTGAAAGCAATAGTCAAAATAATACGAATTTATTTTTATGTTAATAAGTTAAATATTTTTAACTAATATTATCTTATTTATTATTTATCAAACTTACTTTTCAAACATAAAACATGATAAAAAATATAAGAAAGATAAAAAATTATATATTTCATAAAATGTTTGGTTCCGGACGAATCAATTATGGGCAAGTAAGAATGAGAATCAAGACAAATTCATGAAACCAAAAAGCGTTATAATTATGTTCAGTCAATTTAGCTCCATCCGGATAGTCCCAACCCATTGGTTCAGCCCTAGTTTTTCTTAAATAAATTAAATAAATAAATAAAAGTCTATTAGGATGGGACTGGTATAGGCTATTTCAAACTAGACCTAACCCGTTGATAACACTAAATATTGGGCTCAAGGGGAGAGAATAATTTGTTAATAAATTATTTTTAAATAAATAAATAAATGTGTATTGAAATCTATCTTTTAATGTCACGTCTCTTTTATTATACTGATTTATTTTATTAAAATAAACAATTTATTTAATTTTATTAAATGAATAAATATTTAAATAATAAAAATAAAATAAATAAATGAATAAATAAAAGTTGAGATAGAGAATAGGAGAGAGAAAGAGAGAGTTGAGAAAGAAGAGGAATGGCGTTTTATTTATAGTATGTGATAATTGTATGTGGGACTATATAATTTTTGAATGCCATTGAGTCAATTATACAAGGAGATTTATCTTATATGTGGCATTGTTGTAATTTTTGAATATTATAAAGGTGAATATATAGGGAGGTTTGTCTTATATGTGGCATTCTTTCAATTTTCCAAACAAAGAGAGGTGGGAGAAAAGAGAGAATAAAGAAGAGAAAGGAGAGAGAAACATGTATCAATAATTTAGAGAACAAAAAATATATAAGTGTAAACCTCCCAATGTTGTCGTACACCCACCCAATGCTTTAAGTATATAAATAGATATCATCAAGTTCAACAAAAGGGATATACTTCTACTTGATACAATTTAAGCATGTTTTTTTTTTTTTGCTAGAATTGTAATTTCCTTTTTCAAAGATGTTTTTCCTTTCTCTTTCATGATAATTGTAGTATGTTTCCTACCACCATCACTTTCTAGGACAAATATATAGAGATTGGAGAACATTATTTGAGACAAATAGATATTGGAATTATTGTAATGGCAGCTACAACTATGAAAGTTATAGGATTTTATGGTAAACACTTAAACACCGTGACAATATTTTGTTAGGTTGTAATCAAGTGTATGTATTTACAAAATTTTTCCTCAATTTGTTTGTATGTCATGTTTTCGGAAGAGTTGTCACTTTTAACTATAAAGTATATAAGGGTGATGTTTGAACGTAAGATTGATGAAGCTCAAGATCTCTTTAGTTAGTAATTCTGCTTATGAAATCTCTTCCCATACATGTTCTTATGCATTTTATTACAATATTGATCTCTACAATTTATTACATTTAGGATTGAAAACTTGTCTAGTAGGTATAGAATTTCAACATACATTGTATACATTGATATTGATCAAGGTCTTTGGTATAAATCCTATGTTATTTGCAAGAGAAAGGTGAATCTTGTTAACCAAGTGTACAATTGCTCATATTGCAATAAATCACTAGCAAACACACTTTCAAGATAATACACAAGCATAGAAAAATGCTATTAGACATATATTAATATTGTTTAAATTTTACAAGTGTAAACTATGCATTCATTCCCAAGATTATATTGCTTAAAGAGTACTTACAATATTTGACAAACAAACAACATTTATTGTTAGGAAGCCAATATCTTTTGTTAAAAAGTTTCTTTCTCTCATGTAGCATACTTTACACTCTTTTCACTATTTTCATTAAATTAATAACTATCATAAATTTACACAATATATTACCATTTTCTTAAGAAAATCTAATTAATAGCTTACGCAACCTTACTTTACCATGCCTTTGGAAGCCTTTTACTTTTATCATAGAACCACCAAGGCAGACCTCACCTATTGTTAGCTTTGTAACTGACATCAACTAGGCAACAGAAAGCTTGGAACTCTTTAATGAAATTACTATAATTTGGGTGTAAATATTTGTATGAATAAGAAGTAAATATTTCTACTTTTCCTTATTTGAACAATTGTAGGTGTCCTTATTTCAAATATTTCAATCATGGGAAGTTCTCCACAAGGTATAAGATCAATTACTTACAAAATAAGTTAAGAAATAAAAGTATATACATTAAGTAGTAGCATGCATTTTTCCTTTGTTTCCTTCATGTTTTGATTAACTAGTATCACTCATTACTTCTTGAGGTTTTGATCATTAATGCTTTATTTATTCCCTTCTTGAACTAATAGTTGGAGGATCTTGTTGATTAGCGCGAGCTAGTAAAGTTATAAAAAAAGTAAAGGGGAAGGCTCGTACATAGTCTCATTTTTGCTTTTTTTTTTCATACTTCAAGAGATGACCATTTATTTCATGTCTAACCACTAGCTTGCTTCATTTTGTAGAGATAGCCCCTCCTAGAGACATTAAACCACTAAATGAAAGTTCCCATTGTAAGAATACAACATTCATTTTCGTTCCCTACATTACTTAAAAACTATACATAGTAAGCCATTGATTATGTTTTTATGGTTTTATCTATCTAATCTAAAGTTTAAAATATCATTAGGTATTGGCTCGTATCAATTGATATGTATCGTATCATGGAATTTCCGGTACACCCTTATAGGGAGTGGTTTAGGTCAGACCACGGTTCAAATGATAGCCAAGCCTTAAATCAATCCCTCTAAACCAGATTCAAAAACAAAAACACAAAAAAAAAAGAACCGGTACAAGCCTATAGGCCTACACTGATACTTTGAACCTTGATCAGATCTAGGTAAAAAAAGGAAGCTCATCATTGGAGAAAATACTTCAGGGCGAATTTGATGATTCATCTCTGTTTAAAGATGCTTGCCCTTATCAACTTTCTTATTATCATTTTTGGTTTTCTTAGGAACATGCTTTTTTTAAACAACATAACATCTTTAGTTGTATTACCTAATCTTTAACTACTATCTCTAAATTTATCATCACAAGATAACTCAATTCAGACTTTACATTTGATCATCTATGCAAACTTTTTCCTTTGAAAAAATTACATGAACCCCCTGGGGTCTGTGATAGATACCTCCTGTACTTTTTTTTTTGCGACAAACATTTGACCATTAGTCAAAGACCCCCTTCGCTAGCATTCCAGTTATCATTGAAAAAAATTAGAATTTCGCTATTACTTTATATTTAAATACCCAAACCACCCTTTTTGACAATTTTGACCATTTTACCCCTAATAAAGCTTGGCTTTAGCGACATATCCCCTTGTGCATTGAAATTTCTGAACACACGTGGTTTTTCTTTCGGCCGCCTCTTACCCTCGCTTATTTAGTTCTAACGAAGCCATAATGTCATAAGTGACTCCTTCACTGTGCTATCAAGCACCTACCGTGTGCCATCAGAGTGCCAACCACGTGCCTTCATGGTGTCAGCATGTGTGTCATGGGTGGCTATGCATGTATTTTGTAAGGGGGAACCGCCAATGGCGTTATTATAATTATATAGTATGATTTTTCATTATTTTGATGTTTCCTATTGTCATTCCCCCAAAAGTTTAACATAATCTTTGAGGAGAGGTAGGTAGTCGAGTGAGTCATGAGCATGTAAAGGTTAAGCATGAGATCCCCTCGACATTGAACTGTGTACTTATGCTTGTCATCCATTAATGCAATACAATTTGTCTTTTATCTAATTCGTGTGCCATCTTTGTTGCCTTTTCTTGTGTTATTGCTTATTGCTTAGGCTTACTCGTCGCATTCGAGTGCCGCACGGAATCCCAACGACTAACCCCATAACAATAAGGCAGGGAGCTTGGAGTCATCGGAAACGTACCGAAGGCTTTCTGGTTATGATGATGCCTGTTGGTCATTGATAAATCTTCGGATTTGCCCTTAGAAGTGGCGACTGGGATATTGAAGAGCTTTTGATTGGTAGTGATGGCACTGGCTGCGTTGTTGTTGTTGGAAACTATGCTTAAAATAATGGAGAGTCTCTGTTTCGCCTCTGCGAGTTCTCTAAACCTCTTGATTGGATATGAGTTTCTTGATCGTCTTCTTTACTTTTCCGTAACAGTGAGGTCTCGAGATGTTTGATGTCTTTTGTTTATAATTAAGTTGGAGTTTCATGTCCTACATATCTTTATAAATTATGGATAAGTTCAAAACATCAGTAAGCTAGAAATAGTAAGTGCATTACCCCATCTGTTGCCAACACAATAAATTGGTCTCTGGTGGTTATACTCCTTTGTGTGACTAGGTGCCGAAATAAGTCTGAAATCCTTGACACAATAATCACCAAATGCTAGACATCGCCAGCCCAGGTGTTTCACTATTTGGTAGCTAGACCCTGTGCACCCTTGTTCATCATGCAAAGAGAAAAAGCCGTCCTTTGCACTGAGTTATCCGCTCAGCCTCCTCCATAAGCTATCTTGGCATCTTGCTAATTACTACTCTCCAGCATTTCTGCTCTTGAGTGACATCCTCTGAACTCTCACCTCAGGCCTCATCTAACCTCACTTGTGCATTCGACTAATTTGACCGTCGGAGATTCTGCCCCTGGGATAACATGCAGGGCCTCTGACGTAATCTCATGTTCTCAAGTTAGACACATCAGCGTCCAGCTAAGAAAACAAAAAAGTTATCTTGTTGCCCTCAGCCCATCCGTTGGGTGGGGGTGGAGGGAATAGTAGAGGGGTAAATTTGGCTTGAAATCAATAGTAAGCTGAACTGGCACCAAGCTGCCATTGAAAAGCTTTATGCCATTTCTTATTGAACTTGTATATACTAATAATGCAAAGATAGGGGCATAGAACTTAGAAGGAAAGAAATAGTAATGGCTCCTAAGAATTCTGGATTGTTTCTTAAGCTCCTAAGAATTTTGGCATAATTGATAAAAGGAAAACCAACAAAACCAATGGTCTGCAATACATGAAAACTGATATTACTTGCATATGTATCATGGATGGACTAGACAAGCTACTAGGGAAAACAAATAAAACGGAACACAAACAAGAGAAGGAATGAATAAAAGCACGACTTAGGAATGCTTGCTTTTAACCATAGATTTGTTTAATTAGTGAATTCATGCTTATGCAAAGTAGGTATTGGTCTCAAGTGGATTTTGATCCTGTGCCAATAAAGGGAATATCTCACATGAAAGGATCTCACGAGAACAGTTCTCTCTATCAATGCCTCACATGCGGGTTTTATGCCAGAGTTGATGCAAAATCCTTTGAAGTTAGAGAAATGGCGGTCGAAGCACTCAATCGCTTGATTTGAGTCCCAAGGAATCAGAAGAGATTCATCCAGGAAGACGATGACATTGTCCGGATTCTACAATTGCTCGACCTGGGGGAAATTACTCGTTGAACTCATTTCAGGTGATATCGTTGAACTCAGGGTAGGCGACAAGGTTCCAGCTGATATGCAAGAGAGTTAATCAAGATAATCAGGAGGATTCTAAGCGTCATCTTCATTATTTTCAATTTGTTCTTTATTCCTTTTGCTCTTATTTCAAGTTCCCTCTGAGTGTTGAAACATTAACAGAAGTCCCTTATCCTATACAGTTTCATTCTTACAACTCTATTATTCCAAATGATGGCTGGTTATTGCCCCATATACCAACCATATAGAAAATGCATTGAAACTTAAAAATAATAACCCAACAAAAGAAATCAGAATTCCCTCTGTATTTCTAAGTTTTCTAATTTCTTATGAGTTTCTTTCTTCCTTCTGTATACCCAATGACTTAATGGAGGGGTATTTTGGTAAACCAGCACTTTCCTTCAGCCATACAAACAGAGAGGGGATCTTTATTGGAAAAAAGAATACAGAGGGGTATCTATCGCAGACCCCATAGTACGAGGGTCCGTGTGTATAAATGTATAATTTACCCTATAATATGTCACACATTTTATCTATATCTGTATATACTTAAAGCCTTGGATGGTGTAGGGTAACTCTCCAAGTGTTCGATACGTCTACAATTTTAAAGATTTTGTGTTCGACACGTGTTCGATGCATTTAGATAGGACAGATACCGATTACCCGTTGGACAACCCAATGACCCGTTGGACCGATGGACAAAGGCAGATTGGCCTTGGGCAGAGCCCGATGGAGATGCTTGATCACCTCTCTCGAGGAGATGCTTGCCGAGCAAGCCAGTCTCCTCTCTTAATTCTCTTGGCCGTGGAGAACTGGAGATAGAGGCGATCGCAGCCGCAGAAAGGCCATGGTGGTGGCTGTATTGATCAAGCTATGGCGACTGCTATCCGTGGCTTTCTCAATCTCACTTCTTCCCTTTTCCCCCCTTTCCCCCTTTCCTATTTTTTTGGACGGTGAACAATGGAGACTAGTCCGATGGACAAAGACTAAGTACAACAGAAATATGAATAGTCCGATGGATTCTAAAAACGATTTCTTCTGGGGAGCGAGAGGAAGAGAGATAGTGTGAGGGAGCAAGAGAGACAGTGTGGGAGAGAGAGGGAGACATGGCATATGGAAGATTGGCTCTGTTTAGTTCTACTTTGCTCTATTTTTTCTTTCTTTGGCAGGTTGGCTCTCTTTTTATTCTCTTTCTTTCGTTGGTTTTGTTGCTCCGTCAGCCTTTTTACTATTTAGTTTGGTTTTGTTGTTAGGTTTTGCTTGGGATTTAACTACAAGTATTTGCTTAAGTTTTATATTTTTTCGACTTTTTGGATGCAAGGCACGCATGTTTCGGTGGAGGCGCTATTTCTGGTTGCAGTTGTGGTTTTAGGGTTCGAGCTTTATGTTTGCAGAGGCCGTCAAGTGGTGGTGGTTGTTCGTGGTTAAAGCTTTGGTTGGCCGCGGTTTCCCTACGGTGGTGGCTCCGCGTCCGCAATGGAGCATGGGTTCGCATGCCTTCTCTCTGTTGGGTACATTTTTTTCTCTATTCTTTCTTTGTAGGCTTTTGGCATTTTGTATTAGATTCATGGATGTTGGGCTTTGATTTTTCTCTTCATCTTGCATGGTGGAAATGGGGTTCACATGCGACTTGAAGGATGAGAAAGAGGGTACGGAAACAGTTTATCCATGTTTCAAGCAGGTGTTCACTGAATACTCGTCTGGGTTCTCTCTCCCCCTCTCTATTTTCTCTCAGGTTCACGGGTCGGGTTGGGTTCTGTTTTCCCAACCGATTCTACCTGGTCGGGTTACCTGAAGTGGAAACCGAAACTGACCCATTGATAGGCAAAATCAACTTGATCGGTTTGGGTCTGTTTTTGTTTTGCTCCGGGACAAAAAGGACAAAGAAGCCTATAACTAGAAGGAAATTTATTTGAGAAGATGGGAGAATTGGGAGAGCCGAGTTAAAAAATCAAATGATGGTTTGAGTTGAGGACTTGAGGGGGCAGACCAAGTTAGAGAATATAAAAGATGACAAAAGTTTTCAAATAAAATAGAAGTCAAACTCTTTTATAAAAAGTTTCTAAATTCTAATATAGGTAAAAAAGACACCTAATTTTAATTGTAATTGCCTAATGGGTTTTCTATTTGGTGTAAAAGACTAGAAATTAGGATAGATACAATTTAGGTAAAAAATGACACCTAATTCTAATAGAACACAAAGTTATCAATATAATAGAAAATCAAATTGTTTTATAGAAAGAAGGCTGAAATATTTATATTTCAAGAAACTTTCTAAATTCTAATCTAGGTAAAAAATGACATTTAGTTCTAATTGCAATTGCCTAATGGGTTGCTTATTTGGTGTAAAAGATTACAGAAACTGGGATAAATACAATTTAGTTAAGTAGAAACTAGAAGACTAGTTAAGTAGGAACTATCGAACTAGAAGATTAATTGGTTCGGTTCAGTGAGGAAATCGAAACCGATCTAATATATCAGTTTATGAATTTGCCCAACCTGAAACCGATCGGTGTTGATGAAAACCCGATCGACTCGGGTTGGGTTAGTCCGGGTTGGTCGGGTTGGTCGGTTTGGTCGGTTTGGGCCTTCTTATGAATAACCCTAGGTATGCTGGTATCTCGGTTAGATTCGAGGAAGGTGGTTTGCGTTGGAAAATGGGGTCACTGTAACTTTGGAGGAGAAGTTATGAGTTGCGTCTAAAGACATTGTCTTTAGAATGTTATTTGCCCCCACTTAGTTTTATCGAGTTTGCTGTTGGGTTATAGGCAAATACGTTCTCAGGATATAATAGAGCCTTGGGTGAGAATCTGCAACTAGCAAAGTTGAAGAATCTCTGAACAAACTTTCTCTGAGACTATAGTAGATTGGGCTGAGAGAGAGAAAGTGGATTTCGAAATTGTATGTTTTTGAAATTTGATTCATGCTCCTTAAATAGTTTATGAAGAGGTACGAAGAAAATATAGGTGTTGGTTCAAAAAAGGCACCTTGAACAGTCACAATTTCTCAAACATTGTGACTATTTAAAAAGTGGTTAACGGTTAATGACTGTTAACCTTGAATTATGCCTCTTGATTACATTTGATTGAATCGTGACCGTTGATCTCATCAATGGTGATCAACGACTAGTACCACACCAAAACTAAAGCTGCTCTTCGTGAGTCACGTGAAGTACGAGCAAAGTGCACCTCATTGTACCACACACGTGTGTGCGTGTTGCACGGTGTCAAATTCCCATATTTTCCTCTACTATTTGTAAGTACCATAAATCAACTTCTATTAAAATACTAAAAACAAAGTTCAATATGTGAAATTCAAAAGTGGGTTTTATAAGAGAAAAATTAAATTTTCAATAAGTGTGAAGTTACAATTTCTCGTGTAATTGGCCAATTAAATCCATTAGATTTAATCATTTATAAAATTAAAATCTAATAGTCGTCTTATAAGTCGAGAAGATTTGAGCATAAGGCAACCGTCGTTCGATTGGTCAATTACATGAGAAATTGCAACTGCACACTTGATTGAAAAATCCAATGGGTTTTGAACTTGACCCACATTAGAAAAATATAATTTTTGTTTTCAATATTTCAATAAGAGTTGATTTACACTCCTTAGAATTAGTAGACGAGAGTATGGGGAATCGATCACGTGCAATCCGCGCACACGCGTGTGTGCAGCGCAATGAGGCGCTTTAGAGGCGCACTTTGCTCGCACTCGCGTGGTTGACCGTTGATGAGATCAACGGTCCCGATTCGATCGGGTGTGACCAAGAGGCACAATTCAAAGTTAACTGTTGATAACTTTTTAAATAGTCACAATGTTTGAAATTGTGATTGTTTAAGGTGCCTTCTCTAAGTCAGCACTTACATTTTTTTCATATTTTTTTACAAATTATTTAAGGAGTATGAATCAGATTCCAAAACACACAATTTCGAAATTCACTCACTCTCTGTCTCTCTCAGTCTGATCTGTTATAGTCTCATAGAAGGTTTCTTTGGAGACTCTTCAACTTTGCTGGTTGCAGATTCTTGCCCAATGCTTTGTTGTATCATATGAACGAATTTGCCTGTAACCCAATAATAAACTCAGTAAAATTGAGAATGGGGGCAAATAACGTTCTAAAGACGGTGTCTTCAGACGCGCCTCAGAACTTTTCCTCTCCAACAATCACTTTTTTTGTTTTATTATTATTTTTATATAGTTTAATTTCATATTCCTTATCATTAGCCCCTCCAACGTAGGGGCCGCCCTCTAGAAGTGAAACCCTAAATAACACGCAAAGAACTATAAATAACAAAAATCCCAACATTTGAAAACACTATAGAAGAAGAAAGACTACAGCTAGATACGTTAGATTCGTTTTGTTCGAAATAGTTGTTCGTGATCTATTTTGGTTGTAATTTTAGCATAAAATTAATGATCAAGTGATCAAAGCTCCCAGTTCTCACTTCTTAATTTTCCATAGATCTTGTATCCAATTGATGTTGCCAAAAGTATCGCAGAGTTGAACCCTGAAATCATATTAGATAAATAAGTTTTGTCAACTTATTTCCCGATAATTAATTACCATCTATGCTTTTAGGTTTTTTTTAATTGTAAAAACTAATTTGCACATTTGACATGTTGCATGGCCTTATTATTGAGCCATCTCCAACTTTATTGGTATTTTGAACTTTAAAAGCCTTTCTCTTTCTCTTGCATCCATTCTTTAGCAAGTATCAATAAATTGAGTTATTTATCCCAAAGAATGAGGTAGCACAGAATTAGTGTAAATTTTTGAAGTTTAATTTTTAATTGAAAATTATATTAACTTTTCCCTTTATTTTTAATTTCCCAATTATCAATAAAGAATTGTTCAAAATTGTTTCCTTGTTTTCTCATTTGCCCGTGCTCAGTACGGGCCATTTCTGTTGATATATTATCACACTTTGAAGGTGTACGGACACCCCCACCGTTCAACACGTACCCTCCAAAAAGCTTCCTTCCCACTCTAACCGGACCTCATCTTTGTATTTCTTGCATGGAGTCTGGCATCGATAGATATTCTCATTGCCTTCTGCCATGCTGAGAAGAGATAGTTGCCTTCGGCCTCAACGTCACCCCCATGCGGGAGAAAGGTGACCCTGGGGATGCTTCCACAGGACTCCCTTTGCTGGTCTTCTAAACCGTTTAACAGTTTCCCAACTCTTATTGCCTGTGAGAGTGACGGTGTCGGGAGCATAGAAAGAAGTTGAAGTAGCTTCTCTCCATAGAAAATCGATGACTAATGGTGTGCAATTTGGCCGGTCTTAGCTGTCAACGACCTTGCCTTTGAACTGAATCGCAGGGAACCTGAAATAGAGAAGATGAGGAAACTCCGAGGGGAACCCGGTGTAAAGGCTCCGAAACTGAAGTTAGAATCATTTAAAGGCAAAATGAAACCAGATAGTGCAAAGTTTGCATACCTTCTTCTTGGGGGGTCGGAAGCCTTTTATAACCACCTCGTGCACTTACTCCTATGCTTCTGTCAGGTCGGGTATGATTACTTCCGTGTTTCTGTTAGTTTGCGTGTCATCACCTCTGTTGGGGTAGAACCGCCACTGCTCTTTTTGTCGGAGCCGTCTCTATAACTGGAGATGGCAGTGGCAGGTGGCCGTTGAAGTGCGGCTGTTAAGCGTCAGATCCCAAGTTGGTCAGGTGCGCCGCCCCTGGATACGGACTCCTTCGGTGTCAGGTACGGTGTGGTTTGTCTAGTTCGGTGTTCTGGAGGCGAAGTGCTGGAGCGGTGTACTAGGCGAAGTCTTGAGTTCGGATAGGGGAGTCTCCCGAACTGCCATGAGGCGAGCTAGTTCAGGTCACTACTTTGTGTGGCTTGGGGCCTAAGGGAGAGTCCGGGCTCATCGTAGGGAGTTCGGATAGGGGAGTGTCCCGAACTGCCATGAGGCAGGCCAGTTTGGGTCACTGCTTTGTGTGGCTCGGGGCCTAAGGGAGAGTTCGGGTTCCTCGTAGGGAGTTCGAGCTCTTAGTAGAGAGTTCGGGCTCCTCGTAGGGAGTTCGGGCTCCTCGAAGGGAGTTCGATCTCCTCGAGGGGAGTTCGGATTGTTGGTTTCTTCCCTTGGTGTTTGTGCCCTGGGTACGTTGTTTTAAGTGTCGAGCTATTTGTTTTTTGCCACGTGGCGTGATTGCGGGGTCGGGCAAAATCTTCCTTCATCAATTGTCCTTCACTCCTTGTACTAAGGGTCTTGCCCTGGCGTGAGGAGTTCGCGAGGTGTCAGGTAGATTTGCCTTGTACTTTGAATCTTGGTTCTGATGGCGCGAGGTGCGTTGTCAGGGTTCCTTGAGTTTCTTCGAGCGTCCAAAAGGCGGGAAACGTGCTGGCCTAAGCGCTGATAGATGTGACGACGTGCACTTTATTTCGAAATTTCAAAAAAGCTCGCCACTTGGGAGGTGCGATAGTAGGCGTCTTTTCAAATTTGAAAAAATGTGTCGTTGTCGCTTTTATTAAGGAGACGTGCGTTGGCGTTCCGTCAGTTTCGAAAAGATGTGCGCCGGTGCTCTATCAGTTTCAAAAAGACGTGCGCCAATCACATCTCGGTCTCAGGGGACGTGCGGTCAGTGCGGCTGTGGGCCGTCGGATTGCCTTTGATCTAAGCTGTCGCTTTTCTCTCGAACTTGCGTTCGAATTTCAGCTCGCATCCAGTTCGCGTCCAGGTTTTTTCAGCTCGCGTTCAAGGTCTTCTGCTCGTCCGAGCTCCTACGGTCTACAACCTTTTTCCGGGTGAGTACTTTCCTAGATCCCATGTCACTCCCCGATGTCTAGCTTGGATAGCTCAGATAGTCCTTCCAGCGGGTCTGATGCAGGTTGTACGAATCGAGTTGCATCCCCTAATAGCCCTAGCGAGTCGGAAGTAGAGTTCGAACTCGTAGGCTGAGGTGCTTTGGGTAGTTTGGCGTCCACTTCTCGTCGGGGTCGGATGTTAGATAAGTTTGGTCATTCGACCATGATGCCCGAGGGGCTCCAATCTCTCATTACCTACTATAACTTGCCCGGGGAGTACTCTTTTTACATACCTTCGGGTAGCTTTCCTTGGGAACACGGTCTTGATGAGATCGTGATATTCCGGGAGCAGCTCGTCGCGGGGCTGCGATTGCCTTTCCATCCCCTCCTTGTTGAAGTCTTGAATCATTTCGGCGTGACGGTCGACCAGCTTCACCCGAACTCCATTCGAAATTTGGTGGGGACAATCTCCTTATTTTGCGAAGAGAGCTTTCCTTTGGACTTGGAGATHTTYTCTTCAATCTTRATGCTTAAGAAGCAAGCGGGTCCCCTCCCCGGGCGTAGGTGGGGCATACTACCTGTCTCATCGCCCGGGCCTTAAGATTTTACATGAACTCCTTAACAAGGTCCTAGCATGGAAGCGAGACTATTTCGGGGTGCGAAGTGTGCTGGGGTGGCTGTTTCAGACCGGGTGGGGGGTGACGGCTCCCGACTCCGGGGTCACACTTGACAAAGAGACGGCGAAGGGCCTCCGACAATGGGTGCGGCTTGGGCTGAAGTGTCAACAGTATCTAACGGAGGCCAAGCTCATTGCGACCGGCCTGAGCTCGGGTAGGTTCTTCACTTGGAGATTCTGTCTTGCTGTCTTGTTTTTTACTGATGGCGAACTTCTTTTCGCAGGTGTGATGGACTCTCGAGGGACCCGTGAGGGGCACTTGTTCCAAGGCATAAAGAGGAGAAAGAGGGTTGCCAAGTGAAGTTACGCCGAGATGCCCTAGGATGCGGAGCCCGAGGTGTTGGACTATCCGTCAGAAGATCTGCCTAGGGAGCCCGAGATGGTTCCTCCAATGCAGGAGCCGGTGGGGGTCCTTTATGCTATGATTACTTGCACAGGGGCTCCTATATACTCCGGTGCTCCTACTTACTCCAGATCTGCTCATATGCGAGGTGGACCCTCAGGCTCGGGGGCCTCGGGGAATTTCAGGAGTGTGCTGTAGCCGATCCATGCTCTTCAGAAGAATAAAGAGGCCATTTTCCCCGAGGAGGTCACGGCGTGGACTGATCTCCCTCTGCATCAAGTGGCCTGTCGTGCCGTTACCCATGCCATTGTAGTAAGTGTTCTCCCTTTTTTAGAGCTTTTTGGCTTTCGTTTTGTTGGTTCTTTTGATCACTCGGTTCTTTTTGGTATGTGAATTCTTCTATTCACGCCTTAGCGGCTCAGGTGGAGAGGAATTCAAGGTAGGTACGAGCTGCCGAAGAGGCTTGTCGCGCTGCCGACGAGGCTGCTCGTTTTTCACAGATTAGGTAGAAGAGGTTGCAGAGAGATGCCGAGGCCATGGGAGTGGTGGTGAAGCACATGGCGGACTTATGGCTGGATCTGCAGCATCAGGTTGAGTACCTTCAGGAGGAGATCAGGGAGAGGATGCAGATCTTTTCAAGGTATCAAAGATGCCAAGAAGAAGGCTGTCTATGAGTACATTGTTTTGCCGGGCTTTGATGATCTGATGGTGGATTCATACAGGTGGGGTTTTAAACTAAGCCGGTGGATGATCCGGAATACGTACCCCAAGCTCGATATTAGTGCCATATCCACTTCGCGCATAACTCAGGACATGGCCAATGCTGTTGACGGTGAGCCAGACTCCGAGGGCGAGGTGGGGCCTTCGGGTATTGTTGAAGTGCTTTCTGATAATGAAAAAATAGATTCGGGCTTGTAAAATTTATTTTTTTTGTACTAAATTACTTTTGAAATGGAATGACTCTTTTGGTTTAAGTGTTGGTTGTTTTTTTTCCCGAACTGAGCATATTTGCCGAATTAATCATACTCTTGATCTGTTTCCTGTCCGGGCTGTCGCACTCGCGCGGCCTGTTTTGGTGGTGATTTTATCTACTTTGCTTGGCGGTCTATAAGTAGTATCGCCTTAGGTTGATGATGTTCCATGCTCGGGGTACTTGTTTACCTTTTAAAGTTTTGAGCTCGTATGTTCCCCCGAGTGCTTTCTTTACTCTATAGGGTCTTTCCCAATTTGGTCAGAATTTTCCCACGCCGGGTTTGGGTACAATGATCTTACGGAGAATCAGGTCGCCGACGCAGAAGTTCCTCTTCTTTACTCTGGCGTTATAGTATTGAGCTACCTTTTGCTGGTAGGTCACGGTTAGGATGTGCGCGAGGTCTCTTACCTCATTCAGTAGGTCGAAGTTGGTGCGTAACTCGTCTCCGTTTGTCTGCTCGTCGTGTGCTTCTAGTCGCAGTGTAGGTACTTCGATTTCCGTCGAGATTACCGATTCGGTGTCGTAGGTGAGGTTAAAAGGGGTCTCTCCTGTAGCGGTTTTTTCCGTGGTTCGGTGAGCCCGCAGTCGCATGTTGGCAGTCGCATTTTTTTCCGTACTTGAGGTCGACAGTCGGCTGATGGTGGATATTGGCATGTTTCTTACACTTGTCGCATTTTCTGACGAGCTCGACGGCTTCTGCCTTCATTGTTGGCCAGTAGTATCATTGTCGAAGTGCATTTTGAGCGAGGGCTTTTCTCCCCAGGTGTCTGCCGCACAGTCCTTAATGAGTATCGCGGAGTACGAGCTCGGCTTCGGCAGGTCGCAAGCAACGCAGGTAGGGGAGCGTGTAGATCGTCGGTACAACCGTTCGTCTATTATTGACGTATTTGGATTTCTGGCGCTGCACCCTTTTGGCTGCATTGCGGTCCGCAGAGAGGGTTCCGTCTAGCAGGAAGCTCGCGAGTGGGTCGATCAAGATCGGCTCTGCTTCAAGGACGGGAGTGACCTCTTCTGCCCCATCGAGAATGCTAGGCCGAGGTAAGTCCTCTATGTACACTGTTCTCATGGCGTTGTGATTCGTGCTGGCTAATCAGGACAATGCGTCGGCCTCGGTGTTCTCTGACTTCAGGATTTGTCTGATGAAGTGTGATTGGAAGTTGATTAGAGCCTCCTTTATTTTTGCCAAGTATGCAAGCATAGTGAACTCGCGTGCTTCGTATTCGCCCGTAACCTGGTTGACCACGAGTTAGGAATCACTGTAGATAACTACGTGCTTTGCTTCGACCTTGTGCGCTAGGTTCAGCCCGGCTATCAGTGCCTCGTACTCCGTCTCGTTGTTGGATGCCGCGAACTCAAAGCGTAGTGCGTATTCTAGTTTTGTTCCGCTCGGGCCGCGTAGCACTATTCCATCTACGTGAATGATCCAGGGCTCCTCATCCTAGTTCGCGTTTGGCCTAATGAGGAGAGATGCTACACTGGCTGCTACTTCCCGGGGTTCGGACTCTATTGGCTTTGGAGCTCCGAGCTCGCCCGAACTGGGGATCTCAGGCTCGACTAGCTCAGGGGCTTCGAGTCTAAACATGCACTCGGCGTTAAAATCTGCCAAGGCTTGGCCCTTAATAGTAGTTCTTGGCTTGTACTGGAGGTAATACTCGCTGAGTTCGATGGCCTATTTCGTCAGTCGACCGGAAACCTCGGGTTTGAGTAAAACTTGCCTCAGAGGTTTGTCAGTTAGGACGATGACGGTGTGAGCCTGGAAGTACGAGCGGAGTTTTCGAGCTGCTATCACCAGTGCGTATGCTAGCTTTTCTATCTGCGGGTACCTTGTCTTTACTCCTTGCAAAATTTTACTAACATAATAGATGGGTCGCTGAATCCGGTCTGTTTCTTTTATTAGTACCGAACTGACTACCTCGTCGCTTGCCAAGAGGTACAGTTCTGAGACCGCGCCCTCCTCGGGCCGAGCTAAGGTTGGCACATTAGTGAGGTAACTTTTTATCTCGTCAAACGCGAGCTGGCAGTCTTGGGTCCATTCGAACCCTTTGCCTTTGATTGCTTTGAAGAAGGGTAGGCAGCGGTCTGCTGATTTGGACATGAAGCGGCTTAGAGCGGCTATGCGGCCGTTTAGCCTCTGAACTTCTTTTACTTTCCGATGTGGTCTCATATCTATGATGGCTTTTATCTTATCCGGGTTGGTCTCAATACCGCGCCGGTTGATAATGTACCCTAGGAACTTACCCGATGTGACATCGAAGACACATTTGTTAGGGTTCAACTTTATGTTAAATTGACGCAAGATTTGGAAGACATAATCTAAGTCTTGTATTAATTCCTGTGAAAACTGTCTTGACGACCATGTCGTCTACATAACATTCTATCTTCGTGCCAATCAAGGGCCGAAACAGCCTATTTACAAGTCTTTGGAAGGTTGCCCCGACATTTTTTAATCCGGAGGGCATGACCTTGTAGCACTACAGGCCGAACTCGGTTATGAAGCTGGTTTTTTCCCCATCGGACTGGTCTATCCTGATTTGGTTGTAGCCTGAGTAGGCGTTTAGGAAGCTTAGCAACTCATGTCCCGAGGTCACGTCCACTAGGCGGCCAACCCTGGGGAGGGGGAAGCAATCTTTCGGGCAAGCTCGGTTCAGGTCGGTGTAGTCGACGCACATGCGCCAATTGCCGTTTGCCTTTTTCACCAGCATTGGGTTGGCTACCCAACTTGGGTAATGGACTTCCCTTATGAAGTCTGTTGCGAGGAGCTTCTCGACCTCGTCAACCGCCCTCCAACGCTCTGGGGCTAAGTTGCGTTTCTTCTATCTAACAGGATTGACTACAGGGTTAGTATTAAGTTTGTGAGTTATCAGGTTGGGGCTAATACCGGGCATGTCGGCTGCGGACTAGGCAAAAATATCTAAATTTTGAAATAAAAAACTCACCAGTTCGGTTCGTAGTGGTTTATTGACGGAAGCACCGATCTGTAGTGTGCGAGCTGGGTCTGTAGGCGAAGTCGGGACCGCGACCGTTTCCTCTGTGGGCAAAGTTCGTTCCTCGCTTTGCTCCGCAGGCCGCTCCAGTTCAAGGTCGTCGGCCACCTTGGTTTCTCCATTCAGGGCGGCAACATAACACTTGCGGGACTGGAGCTGGTCGCCCCGTGCTACCCCCACACCGAAGTTTGTAGGGAACTTCATGGCCAAATATTAGGTGGAGACCACTGCCCGCAGATTATGCGTGATTGACCGCCCTATTATGGCATTGTATGGGGAGGGGGTCGCAACCACCAGGAAATCATGGTTGAGTTTGACCGCACAAGGCCATGTGCCGACTTCCACAGGTACTGTTATTATTCCGAGGGGCCCGACTTCTTCTCCGTTGAAACCCACCAGAGGAGTGTTCGCGAGCTTCAGCTCGCTCCTCTGTAACTGTAGCTGGTCAAATGCTGATTTGAATAGGATGTCCGCTGAGCTGCCCGAGTCTACGAGTACGCGTCTGACCTCGAAGTCGTTGATCCTTAGTTTAATGACAAGCGCGTCATCGTGGGGGTAGTGGTCCCCTCGCGCGTCGTCTTCTCTGAAGATTGGTTCTTCAATCTTTGGTCTTTTTGTGGGGTTCCGTTCCTCGAGGGTCGCTTCGCGAAATGACGTCCGGGCTGCTGCCGAGGTACACCCTACTTCCACCGAACCTCCCACAATTACATGGATGGTTCCCCGAACTGGCCTCTCTTCCGGAGGCTGTTGTTGCAATGGTTCGGCTGGTCTGCTGCTAGATTTGGGGGCATCATTTCTGTGCTCCCCTTGCCGACCTGCCTTATTGTTATTATTGTTATGCTATACAAAATTTCTTAAGTATCTGCGACGGATGAGTCCCTCTATCTCGTCCCGGAGATTATTACACTGTTTGGTACTATGACCGTGGTCTCTATGGAAACTACAATACAAATTCTTATTTCTCTCGTTCGGATTTCCCTTTAGGCAAGGTGGCCACTTTACGTATGGGGCGTCCTTGATCGTCATTAAGATCTCGGTCCGCCTCGCGTTTAACGGTGTAATCCGTCCGAACTGCTAGGGGAGCTCGGAACGACTTGTTCGTCTTCGGCTCTCGGGCCGGGTTTTTTCTGTCGACTGGGTTGGAGGGTTCGCCTTCCCTCTTTCTTTTCTCATTCCTGCTTTTGGTTCGTTGGTTGATTTCTTCCTCTGTTCTCATGAACTTATCCACGAACTTGAGGAATTCGGCCACGGTTGCGGGCTGGTTAACTACCATGTGCCATTTAAATTCTTTGTGCGTTATTCCTCTTTTGGCCGCCGCGAGCTGCACCGCGGGGTCT